CGCCAAGCAGCTCCAGGAACCTGACAGGACCTTGCTGGCAGGGTAAGGGCGTAATTTCACCCCCTGTGCGGAACCAGCAAACCCATCTCCAGCCTCCCCGAGGGCCTGGCATTGGGAACCCCAGAATATGAGGGAGGGGGATGGGCCCCGCCTGTTCATTTGCACATGTATTTACTTGGGATGCCCCGTTTTCAGGAGGGTGTCTAGCTTGGGCAGGGCAAAGAGTGCATGGAGATGCTGCCTCTCCCCTCCCCCGGTTTCTTGCCCTGGGGCTTTGCCAGCTGTGATTGGGATGGGTGGGGGGTTTTACCGTCCAGGGCGGCACTGGGATGTTTAATATCAGCCGCGCCCCAAGCTTTGTGGGTGGCAGGAAAAGGCCCAGCAGAGAGGGAACTGGGAGCAGGCCTGGGCTGGCTTGTTTCAACACTGCAGCTGGAGACGTGGTGTCCGAATACACGGCCCAGGGCCCCTGACCAGCCTGGGGTCAGTTCAGACGTTCTCCAGTGGGAGCAGAGCAGTCGTCTCCAGCGGCTGAGAACCTGACTCAGTCCGAAGCTGCAGGCTGGACCCCTGTCACCCTGTCCTCGTCTAGCAGCTGCGCCCTGGAAAGAGGTGTGTCTGCTGGGTCCAGGGGAGCCCAGCTGGGTCCTTGGCTCAGTGAGCTCCACGACAGCCCGTCGAGGGGGGAAGGGGTTCCTAACCCACCTCCTTCCCAGCAGGGTGAAAGCACATGGGCTCCTCTGAGTGAAACCCACTGGCTCCCCCGCAGCCAGTCCAGGCTGCTCTCTGGTGCATTGCCCAGCTCTGGCCTGTCCGGGCTGATCATAGAATCATAGAACACTAGAACTGGAAGGGACATCTCCCCTGCTGGCTTTCTGGCTCCTCTGCTGGTTATCAAGAGCTGTATTCACTGGCATGGTGAAGGGACGGGAGACACAGCTACTGCCAGCCCGGAGCAGCCTGGGTCCCTCTGGCCTGTATCCAGCAGCAGCTGCTGCAGGACTCCTCCCTGCTCGGCTTGGGAGCTGCAGCCTCGCTGACCCCGCGCCATGGGCAGCTGCCCCCGTTAGGGGTAGAGAGTTCCCGGGGAGTGGATTCATCACTGCTCCAATGGCTCCCTGCCCCAGCATCTCCAGCTGCTCCCCCCTCCCTGCGCTGCGGGGAACTAGCCCCCACGGCCATCCCAGTGCCTCCCGCCTGCCTTGTGCAGCAGGGTAGCGAATCCCCATCCGGCAGAGGGGGCAGGGAGGCCCAGAGAGACTGGGGGGATGCCTACGTTTGAGCTGAGAGGTGTGAGACAGCCTAGCTCATGTTAGTGCAGTGGAGGGCAACCTAGGCTAGTGTGTGTATATATATATGTGTGTGTGTGTGTGTGTGTGTGTGCGCACGCGCCTCCATGTACGCATGTGTGTGTGCGCAAACTGGGGGACAAAGACCCCTCCCCAGCCTCCAGGGGCATTCAGCTAGGACCCAGGTTTTGGCAATCCTGGAGAAACTGCCCGTCAGGTCCTGTGGCCCTGGCTTCAAGTGGGGTACAGATCCCAGAATGCGATGAAGCTAATTGCAGCCATATGGTTTGTACTCAGTCACTATGAAATAATGCAACAGAACACCCCAGAGTGAGGGCGTCATGCGGAGACGGGCGTTCAGAAGCAAAGGGATAACTCCTGGCAGTTTTGCTAATGAGAGTGGGAGGAGGAAGGACAAGAGCAAATATTGGAGAAGGAAAAGAAATAGGGGCTGTTAAGTGATTAAAAATGAATCTCGATTAATCACACAACTAAAAAATTAATCATGGTTAATCGCACTGTTAAATAGAATATCATTTATTCAAATGTTTTTGGATGTTTTCTGTATTTTCAAATATATTGATTTCAGTTGTTATGCAGAATACAAAGTGTACCGTGCTCAATTTATTTTTATTACAAATATTTGCATGATAAAAAACAAGAGACACTTTTTCAGTTCATGTAATACGAATACTGTAGTGCAACCTCATTATCATAAAAGCTGAACGTACACATGTAAAATTCTGTACCTAAATAACGGCATTTAAAACCACACCAATGTAAACCAGCATCCTACAAGTCCTACCAGCCAATTGTTAAGAGAAACAAGATTGTTTATATTTTACAGAAGATAATGCTGCCCACTTCTCCTTTACAATGTCACCTGAAAGTGTGACCAAGCATTGCATACTGTTGTTGTAGCCAGCATCGCAAAATATTTATATTCCAGATGGGCTAATGTTCTTTTATGTTTCAGCAACCATTCTAGGGGTTGTGTCTATGCTGTTGACAGATTCTGCTTGAGAATGATCCAAAGCAGTATGGACTGATGCATGTTCATTTTCCTCATCTGAGTCAGATACCATGTTACAAGATCAGGAGCAAAAAGCCCTGTCAAAGCCTGAGACCTTTAGATTTTCAGTCTAACCCTTGCCTAGTTGAGCTACTTCCACAACAGAAAGTTGATTTTCTTTTTTGGTGGTTTGGGTGTGTTGCTCTTTTAAAACTTCTGAAAGCATGTGCCACTCTGTTCCTCTCTGATTGACGAAGGCACGTCAGATTCTTGAACTTTGGGTCTAGTGCTTTGGCTATATTTAGAAGTCTGATATTGGAAACGTCTTTGTGTTTTGTCAAATCTGCAGTGACAAGTTTTCTTAAAGGAAACAACAAATGCTGGGTTGTGTGGTCCAAGAACACCATAACACAATATATGGCAGAATGTGGGTAAAACTATGGAGTAGGAGACAGGAAAACATATAATTCTCCCCCAAGGAATTCAGTCACAAATGTAATCAATACATTTTTTGAACAAGTATCATCAGCCTGGAAGCATGTCCTCTGGAATGTTGGTTGAAACATGAAGGGGCATATGAACATTTAGCACACCTGGCACATACATACCTTACAATGCCAGCTACAAAAGTGCCACACGAACTCCTGTTCTCACTTTCAGGTGACAACGTAAATAAGAGGTGGGCAGCTTCTCCCATAAATTGAAACAAGTTTGTTTCAGTTAGCAATTGGCTGAACACGAAGTAGGACTGAGTGGACTTGTAGGCTCTAAAGTTTCACGTTGTTTTGGTACTGTTATGTAAGAAAACAAATCAACATTTGAAAGTTGTACTTTCATGATAAAGAGATTGCACTACAATACTTGTCTGAGATTAATTGAAAAATACTAATTCTTTTGTTTGTCATTTTTACAGTGCAAATATTTGTTTTCAAAAGCAACATAAAGCAAGCACTGCACGCTTTCTTTTTCTGTGTTGTAATGGAAGTCAGTATATTTGAAAAAGTAGGAAAACATTCAAAAAATTTTGGTACATTTCAATTGGTATTCCATTGTTTAAACAGAGCAACTAATCACAATTAATTTTTAAAAGCACAATTAATTTTTTTAGTTAACTGTGCGAGTTAACTGTGATTAATCAATGGCCCTAGAAAAACAATATGTGGACGGAACACTTTGAATCTAGATGCCTCTGACAGGGAAAATTTATTGAAAGTTAGAAAAGTGAGGAGTTAATAGGGGTCATTATGACCTGTGTGTTTTGTAGAAGTTAGTTATAAAAAAGTTTAGATAATGGAGTGTATTTGGGAGTAGTCTTTGGGAGCTATCCAGAGAGAGAGATGTTTTCCTGACATCTTTGCTCTCCAGCAGGGAGGTGTTTGACCAGCAGTTTTTTCTGCCATTGATTACTCATTATCATATAGGTAAATATCTAGAATATTCTAACCTATGGCTTATAGCTGTGTGTGTTTATATGTAATAACCTGGAGTGTTAGACAAGAGCATGCTTATTTGCATTACTCCTCAGACGGTAGAATTGCTTAAATCCATCAACTTATTCTTTATTCCACCTGGAGTGAAATAGTTAAGTTGCCCCTGTTGAGGGTTCTAACAAGTCCAGACCATCCAACAAAGGGCCCATCACTGCCCTTGAGGGGTGGGACTGGCTGATTTCCCTAAACCTCACCATGAACTCCCAGATGTAGGGTGCTTGCTCCTGGCTAGCTAGCTCCATACACCCCTCTGTCTGTCTCTGCCAGCAGTGCCTGGGCGCAACTGATCTAGAGCTCTGCTTTCCCTTCTCATACCACATTTCCAGAGCCTCAGAGTTCCCGCAGGTTCTCGCGGGCTGCTGTGAGCTCGAGGGGGGCTACGTGAGGAGAGCGGGAGCCCCATTGGAATGCCACGTGGGTCAAGTGACGGGCTGATTCCGCTCGCACTGCAGGAAGGTATCTTTGCCCGGGGTTACCTCGGCTAACTCACGCCCGGGGCGCTCCGCTGGCCTTGTAGCTCTGCCGTGGGTGGGTACAAACGCAAGCCAAGGTGGAAGAGGAAATGCCACAGCGATGGGCTCCACGTTTTCAAAAGGGACTCGTGGTTTTGTGAGTCCAGCCTTAGACACCACAAGCGGGGGAGTGATTTTTAGCAAGTCCTGCTCCTCAAAGGTATCCAGGCAACTCATTCCCATTGAAATCAATGGACGTTGGGTGCCTTTGAGGGTCTGGCCCCACCCTCTAAAAACAAGAGGTCTCCACTTAGGCTACAAAACCAACAGCTGCTTTTCAAACTCTTAGCAGTGAAAGTTTTAAGTTGCCTTATGAGAGGAGGCAATGCCACTGGGCTCATAAAGCAACGCAGGGATGAGGACCCTGGTGTGCAGGCCTTATCCCGGTTGCAGTGCCAATGTTCCCTCTAGGTGTGGACTTTTTCCATCCATGTGTGGAATAATTTTTTCTATGAGCACTGAGGTATGTGTGCATGTGCACCACCAGTAGATACAAACACCTTGCTGTGGATGCTCTGTTAATTAGCTGGGCAGCATTTGAATCTCTCCCAGGCACACAGCTTATAGGGACACTGATGCACAGGGACAGGATTCAGGGTACCCTGCACTAGGAGTGGTGCACAGAGAGCGCTGAAGGATGCAGTGAGATACACATCCCCTGGGTAACTCTTGGTTCTCTTGTTTCCTAGAAGGTGAGATGCATCTGGGGAACATGGGCCACGCCAACCAGTCACTTGTCACCGAGTTTGTGTTCCGCCCCTTTTCGTCCGTGCCAACGACACAGCAGCTCCTCTTCGTGCTCTTCCTCTTGCTCTACCTCGCCATCGTCATGAGCCACGCCTCCATCCTCTGGGTGGTCTGCACTGACTGCGCCCTCCACGCCCCCATGTACTTCTTTCTGGGCAGCCTCTCGGGGCTGGAGGTGTGCTACACCACCGTGGTGGTGCCCCAGATGCTGGCCAGTGTCTGGGATGCCCGCACCACCATCCCCGTGGCCAGCTGTGGGGTCCAGATGTTCTTCTTCGTGGCGCTGGGCAGCGCAGACTGCTTCCTGCTGGCCGTCATGGCCTACGACCGGTACGTGGCCATCCAGTACCCGCTGCGCTACGCCCTTATCATGACACGGCGGCTCTGCTGGCGGCTGCTGGCCACCTCGCTGTCCCTCGGGGGGCTGCTCTCACTGGAGCTGACGGCTTTGGTCTTCGCCCTGCCCTTCTGCAGCCGCCAGATCAACCACTTCCTGTGCGATGTGCCGCCCGTGCTGCGCTTGGCCTGCGGGGACACGCGCCTCCACCAGACCGTGCTCTTCAGCGTGGGCGTGGCTGTGCTGGCCCTCCCCTTCCTCCTGATCTGCCTCTCCTACGCCCTCATCGCGGCTGCCGTGCTGCGCATCCGCTCAGCAAAGGGCCGGCGCCGGGCCTTCCACACCTGCTCCTCCCATCTCACCGTGGTGCTGCTGCAATACGGCTGCTGTGGCCTGGTCTACCTGCGCCCCAAGGCTGGTGCCGCGGAGGATGAGGACCGGCACCTCGCTCTAATCTACACCTTCGCCACGCCCCTGCTCAACCCCCTCATCTACAGCTTGAGGAACAGGGACATCAAGCAGGCCCTGAGCAGAGCCCTGCGCCGGACACTGACAGCCCAGCCTCGCTGAGGAGCCGGACGGCCCGGTCTCGGCAGCCATCTCCACCCCCTTTCCCACACACCGACCATGGGCAGACCCAGGCCATGCCGGCCGGCCACATCTCCTGCCTGCCCCTCTGGCCAGGAAAATCCAGTTTCCTCACTATGGCTCCACACTGCAGAGGTCGCCTGTTTCTATGCCACGGACAGGCAGCAGGGGTGCCCTGGAGGATCTGGGTGTGGTACGCATGGGCTCTGAAAGGGGGCAGCCCTAGTTGCCGCAGTGCACGAGGTGCAAAGCTGCAGAGGCCAAGAGGAGTCAGAAGATCAGGGTGAAAACTAGTGTCAGCCTATTGGCTGCTGGAGGGAAAGAACTCTCTGCTGCCATCTCTTGGACGATTGGAGGAAAAGATACAATGTCTGACTTCATTTGCATGTTTGTTACCCACCTTCCCAATGGAAACATTTTGGTCATTCTGATTAAAACACTATTAACTCTGGTGGGTGACGACAATGAAATGTCCTCATCTTTACTGTCAGGCAACAGGCAGTAGGACTGTACTAAACGTGCATCGAGTGAAAAGTCACCCTAACCAAAATCTTCATCTTGCACCCCGTGGGAAGGGGAAAAGGGACATTTGTCCATCAGTCAGTCACACTGGCTTTAGGGAGACTGAGGCAAAGAACTATTGCCTAGGATGATCTATTTCACTTGCTGATTAATTATTGTCATGTTTTCCCAAATTAACACTGTGTTCTTTTCCCCCTTTAATAACATTTCCTTCTTCCCATGGACAGACTCATTGCTTGTGAGAAGGGTCAAGTGAAATGCTGACTGTTGAGGGCTCCTAGGGAAGTGTCTCCGAGGTTTCTTATGGGGTGCTTGAGCTGATGGGTTTGTTAATTTCAAGGGGAATCCCTAGCTATTTGTACGTGCTGATTCACCATCATTGTGTGTAGAGCCATGCACTCCCTCTGCATCCGATCAAACTGCTGCTACAATTCAATAAGCACCTACCAAAAATCGAGGTAAGCAAGTGCAGTGAGCAAAACTTCCCACTCGCAGGAGACAGTCCCAGTTATGACAATCTTGCAGCCCACTGAGATGAAGAAGGGTCACTCATGCAGCCCACTCACTAGCCTCAGTTCCCCATCACTGTGTCACTTCCAGATAACGATTGCAGGGAATTGTCCCAGGCTGAAGGAGCAACCGCTGCTTACTTGGCACCCTGGCTAATAAAATACACCACAAATAATTCCCTGTCTCTGGCATCATGTGTTACTAAAGCCTGTGACAAAGGTGTCTGGTCTGTAGCGGCATGCATGTCAGCGCAGCAATGTGCCCTTTGGTGCACCACAGTAGCTGAAACTGTTAAAAGGGGCAACTAATATTGGGATTTCTCTAATTTTTGCCATCCATGAGCAGAATAAATTTTATTACACACACTGAGGCAAGTGCAGATGTGCACCACCAATAAAAACACACACTGCTGGTGGGGGCACTCTGCTAATCAGCTGGGCGGCATTTGACTCCTGGGTGGCCACCCAAGCACCCCGCTTATAGGGACCACTGGTTCCTATGTGTCTGGCCACCCAAATGGTGCTGGGCCTGATTTTCAGAAGAGCTCAGCTCCCGCAGTGCCCAAGGACAGTGAATGAAGTTTCTTTTCAAGTTGGGCACGAGCCGGGGAGGCACTCAAAGTTAGCGGCTAATACATAAGAATAATAAGCGGGGGAAAGCGGGTTAATTGGTACGTCCGTCCGGTGGGAGAGTCCCAATACTCTGACAGTTGTTTTCATCCCCATTTGGGATGAAATATGAACCCATGAAAACTGTCCACAGAACAAAAACTACCCTCCACAGCTGATTCAGAAATGTCAACCAGTTTTGTTCTGAGTTGACGCTGATCTCTCTGGTTGCCCGAACCACTGCAGTGCCGCAGGCCTAGACATGCGCGTCTGCTCAGCACACGTCATTGTCACAATATTTCTTGGAGGGAAAATCCTGAGCCACACTGTCCTGGAGCGGAGCACCAGGAAATCCTCAGATGCTCAGCGCTGGGCAGTCTGCAAACGACCCCTCACAAAGAGACACTCACAGGCAAGGCATCATGTTCATCTGCAGCAATACTGAGATGGGCCAGGCTGTCCTCTCATTGACACAAAATGTTTGCGCTCACATTGCAGCTGCCTTCCAGAACATTGGTTTGGAAGCACCTATGGGGCACAACTCTTTGTGAACGCACTTGTCAACCTAGCAGCCAAAGGTCGGTCACGATCCAGTGACTGGAAGCTGATGCAAGACAAATTCAGACTGGAAACACGGTGCAAACTTTTCCCCGGAGGGTAATGAACCAGTGGGAACATTCCCCCACTGTTGGGATGGAATCTTCATCACTGGCAATTTTAAAATCAAGGTTGGAAGTTCTTCTTGTGCTTGTTCTACCAGGAATTAAGTCAGGGAAGTTCTCTGGGCTGCGTTATGCAGGAAGTCAAATCAGGGATGGATTAAGCTCTTCATAGGACCTAGGCACTCTCATAATTGTAGGATATTTCTCCCTAATTTAAGGGCCTGTCACCTCTACACCTAATATTACCCACTTGAATTTTCACTCTTGAAAGTGTCGCATTGTGTGAAAAATTCATGATACTTCCTTCTAAAATAGCATTCATTTTGTTGTATACTACAATTGCACTTAGGATTCATCTGATAGTTCATTGACTGACAAGGAGAAATGTAAGGTGATGTTCCCACTGCTACGACTGTAAAATCCACAAAGCAATGCGTTGCACCACTGAGCTAATAAGTCAGCAACATTGTGTCTCAAGATTGTTCCACATCCTTTACAAAACAACAGTACAATGTATGACCAGCAGCAGACAATTTCACCAGAAACAGTATTTAGTAGTAGCCTAGGTTTCTGCAACACAACTGTGAAATGCAAACACCGTAGGAATAAGCAATGTTCGCTCTGTTTTCTATCCTAGTGCACATAAGAAAATTCAAACCGCACCGTCAGTACAAACAAAAACCCTAGATATAAATATTTAAAACAACTCATAGGTATGGAAGACAAAAAAAATTAAAATAAGGGATAATTAACAAGAAGCAATGCTTATGATATTTATTTAATATCAAATAAAAATAAAATTAACATTACCCCAGGACTACATGTATTTGAACATCCTTTCTAACAACTCAATCTAGTGAGCACACCAAAACGTGTATTATCTGCACATAGCTCAGTTTTAAGATGCTAAAGCAATCTATGAGTCAACTGGAAACAGTCATGCTTTCCTTGCAAATATTAATACAATATTTACTTATGCTAGAAAGGAGAGAAAAAGGCATGCACTCAGGCTTATACAGTTTCTCTGGGATGTCAATTCTTAATTTGATTAATAGTGCACAAACATAGAACAGTAAAAATAGGTAATTATGCAACACAGAAAGCAAATAAAGCATGAAACATGAAAATAGGAAGAGAAGTAAAACATCAGGTGGTTGGAGATGGGTATTTTAAGTGAATGTTTAGGATCACGGTGCAAGTGAAACAGAGATCTGTAAACACAGATAAAAGTTATCCTTGTTTGAAACTCTCACATTGTGTGTGTCACAAACTCAAAGAGTAGCTCTAGAGCAGCACTTTAACACATGGCTTCAGAGTTTGTAGACAGATCCATTTTTTAAAGAGCTTGCAAATACGGTCTTCATCCTACAACACACCTAGCATGCCCATTGTCTCATAAGAGCCAGAACTATATCATTTAGAAAAGATCTGGCCTTAATGCTCATCCCCCTAAAATTTTAAAATGTAATGGAAATTGCTTCTCTGGAATCCAACTCTAATTGAAAGGCCAAACAAATAAACAGGTTCCATGGCAAAGTTTGTCCAGTTTTAACAATTTACCATGTATTAATTAGTAACACAAGATATTTAAAAAAAAAAAGATCAGCTATCTATAACACTTCAAAAAAAAATCTGTTAAAGAACTTTTCTTTCCATACCGTAAGCCATTAACACCTATGTAAACTTTCTTTGAAATGTAATCATGCAAATGTCATGAGCTAGGCCTATCCACATAATCCTTATCTACAAAAGCAACCTGACTGCTTTACAACAGAAAAACACCAATACAAATGAAGTCAGATCCTGCATTAAGATCTGCTAATGCAGAATCTCTCCACCTTCTTCATTTGTCTGATCTGGATCGGTCTCCCTCCAAACAAACTAATTTTTAGCTCAGGCTAACCTCTCCAGGCAGATTGCCTCCTGTTGACAAACTCAACATGGCCAAAAGCAAACTCTTTATCTTTCTTTCCTGATACAAGGTGAAAAATATTTTGGTCTTGAACTGCTGAGGCATCACTGTTTTGTGTTTGTTCTATAAATCCAACTGTGGGTGCTACATTATTCTGTCCCGCATCATATTTTCCTGGCATATTTAAGATCTTGTAATTATGTCACCAATCAGTTGGTAATTAATACCAATCCCTCCTAGGGTTGCCGGGTGTCTGGTTTTGAACCGGACAGTCCAGTATTTGAGCTTTCTGTTTGGGAAACAAGTCCCCATCTCCCATATAGCCTCATGCCCCCATACTCCAGCATATCAGCACACCACCCCCTCATACAACCTGCTTCTCCGCCCCACCCCCAGACCAGGAGAGAGTCCTATATCTCTCTCTCGCACCAGCAGTTGCAGCCCAGATAGGCGTGAGTCAGGACACCCAACAAATTTCCCCTACCTCACCACACAGATGCCAATACCCACCCTCTTTCCCCCACCTACATACCCCATGCAGTCTGCTCCCCTTCAGGCCCAGCAGGCTGGAGAATGCTGGATTTCTCACATTAATCTGCAGCCAAACCCAGCTGCTGTAACCACACCAATTCTCTCCTCTCCAGACCTAGCCAGAATGTTCCAAACTCCTTCTCCCCCTAGCCCCCCCCCCCCCTCCTCCTTATATCCCCTTCCTACCAGCTAGAAGAGGCAAACTCCATCTCCAGCATGGAACTGCTGCTGCTGAGG